TAAATGGGCTTGAACCAGTTAAATAAACAATACATGTTCATAAACAAATTAAATGGCATGCAATTGTTGATGGAAAATTGAACCAGTTAAATCATTTAAATCGTTTCGAAAACCAGTTCGGCGCAGAGTTGTATCAGAAAGCTTTCTGCTTCGACCAATCAGAAAGACGCAAAAGCTTTTATTTGACACGCCAACGTTCAAAAAATTTATATTCTGAAAAATATTAAAAATTAAAAATTATCAAAAAATATCAAAATTGTATGCATGTCTGCCCGCCAAAAAAGGGGCCAAGGCGGTAATTAGTTATTTTCCAAGAGGTCTCATCGAACGCAGAGATAAATAGTGCATACGAATTAAACATTTTGAAGCCTCTAAGTTATCCGTATGCGTTAATATCATGAAGCAGACATACGCACAAAACAAATTGAAACACAATGGCTGAATTTCTTTATTCATTCTGAACGTTTGGAATAAACTTTTTTGTTTACTTATTCTTTAGAACGTTCCTGATGATATGTTAACGCATGATTCAATAATGAAAGGTTTTGTAAGAAAAACTTTCTCTCGCTCTAATTTTATCAATGACACTCCCACCCTACTCCTAAAAACAAAAACAGTGATATTTCTTTTCCAAATTTCTTTGCAAGTTTTAAGAACATTTTTAAATTGTTAGTAGTGAAATTTTTACTTTTTAAATTTGAAGAAATGTTTGTTCTGCATTCGCTGGCGCCAACAAGACAAAATGGGTGAGAATCGTTGGACTACAGAAATTCAATGTTAAGAGACGAAATTCCCTTAAATGCCGAAATGTATTTGTCGATATTCGTGGAGACCTCTTGATTCTGCCAAGTCGCTGTAAAGTAAAGCGTTCAATGAGCCAACGAAGGTATTTAGGTATTGTACTCCACGACACAATCCTGGTGTCTCCGAATGAGATTTTGACGCAATATAACATTGCCAAACCGCATCCATAGGCCCAATCGTCACACGACAGCTCGGTTTAGTCAATGGCGCGATGTAATTGCACACTTAAAAGGTGTACGCACGAGGCGAATGTTGGCTGGCGACCAACTTTATTGCAAGCGATTAGCTGGAAGTAGAATGCAAAGTTGAACAATACAAACGCCTTTTTATGGCGAATATTTTAATATTTTTTTTATATTTTGATATTTTTAGTCATTCAAATTTTTTTTCGTGCAACCCGTCGGGAGTTGAACGCAAAAGTTGCCTGAAAAATCGCCTCGTGCGAAAGCCCCATTACGCCACTTCTCATTTGACGATGTAGATCACGTTCCCTATCTCAGTCGTTCAGTAGCTGCGTGCTCTGAGTTCGTCCGGCACCAATCGCCAACTGCGGCTGTGCAAGCCAGTGTTGAATATTTTCCCCAGAACATAAAAAGTGCGACATCAAAGAATTCGAAACAATCGAGCCATAACCGCGAAAGAAACGTAAGCTCCAAATTTTTTTATTTGCCGTTTTTTTGTTTAATAAATATTGCATATTTTCCGCAAACAAATAGCTTCTTCATGTCCATCAACTGGCAAACAAATACAACAAAAAAAAAAGCTGAAAGTGGACCATGCATTCTCGAGTTATGCGCCATCTGACGTACGCAAGTTTGGTATATACATAGAAATATTTATTTTCAATAACAATCGGGGGTTATATTCGATGTAAATAAGCTTGTTTAAATTAAATAATTAAATCAAATTCGTTTTTGTTTTAAAATACCACCATTCACTATTATCCACACCTTTTTATGGAATTTAGCTCCCATTTTAGGAAGTGTGATTGAATTCTTCCCCTTTTTCCCCTGCTTCCATAAACCATCCCTGTGGGTGGGAGTGCCAAATTTTAGAAAAAAGCTACTTACAAAACCTTTAATAATTGAATCATGATGTTAACGTATATTTCAAACGTATTCTGTTTATTCCGGCTGTGAAATGGGATTATCCGGAATGTATAAAGAAACGCAGCCAATAACTTGATTTGAAATATTTTTTTTGAATCTTTATTGGTAATCAAGCAACCGTCAAAGTTAACTCCAAATGTTCAATGTGGACATTTCCAAAAAGCTCTTTTTCATTTAACAAGTTAAATGGGGCCAATTTGAACGTAATATTAGATATGTTTCCTCGTATATAATAAATCAAATTTTGCTAAACAAATATATTGTTTTACTCCATTGAAAATGACAGTTGTCAACCGAAAAAGTTTGAATGTGATATATGTATAATTCAAGATCAATGAGCCTAAAAACAGAGTGCGTTTAATTTGTGGGAAATTTTCCTTATTTCTAGAGAAATTGACCACCGATACGTAAGGTTTTAATTAGACACGCAATTCGTGATTCGCATGTATAAAACCTTATTCAGTGGCATTTTTAAAGATTATCTTAGTTTTAGAAAAATTAAGCTTATTTGTAAGCTGTCAACTCTCAGAGTTTTAATTTGACATAAAATTCGCTATCAGCATGTCTATAAACCTAATGTTGTTGTTGTTGTAGCAGCATACAAGTTCCCCAAAGGGTTTTTGGGGAGTGTTGCTGGAGTGACAGTCCTTGGCCAGATATAAATCTGGGTTGTTCCGATTACGTAGACCCGACTGTCGTGGGAACGTCTAAAAACCTAATCACAGCTGTCGACTGTCAAACTTTTAATTTGGCATAAAATTCGTGACTAACGGGACTAAAAACCTAATAAGTGGTATTTTAAAAAATTTTATTTTTAGAGAAATTAGCAGTTGATTTGACAGCTGTCAACTCTCAAACTAAAAATTTTATGGCATATACACATTAAATATTGGGTAGTTTTTGAAATATTGCAAGATATAAATATACTTGCGTTCCGGATGCTTCACAATTTGCAACGACTTGACGACTTTAACGCCAGAGGTGTCGACTTCGTCGCAGCACGGAACATGGTAGTTAGCAGTCCCGGACACAGCATCGAAGTATCCACAAAGCCCCTTCGGTATATCAATCAAAACTACTAAGGAATATAAAATTACGATTTAATTAAATACTTACTTTACCAAAACACAGTGGAGGCGTGATATGTGTATTACGAATAAGGACAAGTTTACTAAAACCAAATTTTGTGACCACCAATGGTCAACTACTTAAATAAATATTACGGCACTAATGTGCACTGCTCAACATGAATGAATATTAGCAAAACCAAAGGACATAATGCTTGATTAGCCAATACCTTCGTGCTACCCAAGCCCAAGTGTAGGAAAGTTAATAATTTCCGTTTTGGTGCGAATGCGGAAGTTGCATATAATTAAGAACATGGCACGCTTGAACTAATGAAGGAGGCATACTATTTTTGTTGCAGTCCTCAGAAGATCATACCGTTTGTAAAGCATATTAATTCACACTCCCCATCTACAAAACTTAATAGAGCGTGTTAAACATGTACGCACTCGAAGTAAAATTCTTTAAGGTGTAAAAATCACACCGGCTCCAGGAACCAACACATGGGAATTTCGCTGAATTCACCAAATGAGTGTAAAATAAGTTGCCAAGTTATCTGCACTTTGTTCATAAACATATGTCCATATGTGGTAGGATAAGTGGTCGTTTGCAATTCGCATCGTCACAGAACCATGCATGAAAAAATACGCCAATGAACAAGCATAACAAACATAACTTCCGATTCCGACGCAAAATAGATAAATTATTTAAAAATTACATATTTCATTTATGTATATGTATGGAAGATAGCATAAAAAACTTACTTAAAGCAGTAATTGGTCCCCAATGCAGGAATCGTTTTATCTCTGATAATGTACCAATCATTCTCTATACACTATTATTAATCTTTCTATTTTATTTTATTTATATTCACGTAAATTTATGTTTGCAAGTGTAGACAAAAAGAAACACCCAAAACAAAAAACCAACTCACAGAAATTCTAAAATGCGACTGACATATAAAAGCCAAAACGCGAAAATCCAAACGTCAGAAAAAGCAAGTAAGAAAATTGAGCACGGTTGCCAAGCCCTCCAGAAATGTGAATAAACCACAACAAATATCACTAGCTTATACTATGTTCACGTTGAGCCTTTAACTCGAGTTTCTGGGCGATTTTGCAGGTAAACGTTAAACACTACTCATAAACCATCACATAACTTTGAAACGATAGTCATTCAAACGATACTGACAAAACGATGTTGTCAAAACACTGATTTATGCATTTGTGTTCCTGTTACGTGTTACTGTTACTGTTACGTGAAGCAAAACTGGAATCGAGTTGACGATATCGCACAAACGATCAAACAATTTGTGATTTTTATGAAGCAAGACAATACCCTGCAGGGAGTGATGTTAGCTTATACCAGAGAACTTAGATAGATCTAAGAGTCTGGGTTTACACTAGATCTATCTAAGTTCTCTGGTTTCAATGGCCCGTAGTCATAGTCAAAATAAAGTCGACTTTAAAGTTAGTTGCAGCTTTTTGACATAATTTTCAATGGGATATCTGTCAAAAAAGCTGCAACTAACTTTAAAGTCGACTTTATTTTGACTATGACTACGGGCCATTGTCACTTTGCGGGCGCCATATTAACTACATGACAATTAAAGCTGAAATTAGTCAAGAACGTAAACCTACCGGTACGTAAACCCGAGTCAGCTGACACGATCTGTCTTACCAAAGCGCCATGTAAATGAAAACTCAACACCGCAGAATTTTTCAGTAGTTGTAGCCCGTAGCGCAGAAATCTGCGGAATTTAGATTTTTCCGTGTCAGCTGATTTCTCTTTCTTTAGATGGTTGCCACTTCGGCAGTTTTACAGATGGTAAAAAAGGTATAAGTTCCTATTCAAAATATTTGAAATTTACTATTGAGTAAGGTTTTTGTTGAAAACTTAGTAGTTTATATTTAGCTAAAATCTATTATAGCACGAAAAAGTGTAGTTAAAAGGGCAAGTTTATGAAAAGGCATTGATGAGTGGCAACAGTGTAGTAAGCAACACTGAGGGCTCCAGTAATCGACAAAATTCCGCGTATACAGACTGTGTTTAAGTATACGTTCTGCGTTCTCGACTAATTTCAGCTTAAGCAGATTGTGATATTTCATGCTACCATACCTTATTCTCAAAAATCGTTTTTTTGTAAAAAAAAAATTATTTATAAAATTGAAAAATTTTTCTGCGATTTGAGCCACAAAGAAAATTCAATTGCATACATCATTGCAAAACAAGCGACCAATGTCTTCGGTGAAATTAAACACCTGTAAATATGTGGTCCACCGCAAAAATTATTTATTATTAAATTTGTTTATTATACAGCCAATCATCCAAAATAATTTTGATGAGCTTTGCAAACGGCAGCCCAAGTCTTTATTTTCGGAGCTTCCTGATTGTCTCCATTATAGTTAAGGACGATGATATTACTAAACTTTTTCGCATTAATTTTTATTAAGATATAGGTACGCAAATGCATTCCGATCCAGCTGAAGATTATGACAAAATGAAAGATAATCACCCTTATTGCGAGAGTCGTGTGGAATGCAAGTCGTTTTTCGAGAGTCGAATCGTATCGACAATTTCACGTCATTGCCTAAAATTTCCACTCACCTAGTGTGGGTGTTCAGAAATGCATCAAGCCAAAGCATCATACGCATTTATTTCTAAACTATAATTGATGGAAATGTCCAATATGCGCAACCACGGTTAAATTCCTAATTGGAACCTAGTTGCGTAAATAAGGCATTTCATCAATTATAGTTTAGAAGTAAAAGAGACTGATGCTTTGACTTGATGCATTTCTGAACACACCCTGTATTAAAATGGAAAAACTTGGCAGCACTGTATAGTTTTCGACGATTTTGGTCGTTTACTTATTTCAGTACGAGTCGTACAATTTAGCCTAAGTTACGACTTACGAAATGAGGCTGAATGTACAGCAGAAAAAAGTTAAACGTCATATGCAAACATCAAAGAGTTAGCGAAATTTCCCAATTTTCCCTCCCTGGATCTGCCACTGGTTTATGGCTATTAGGTATGCTGTCGGGTGCAGCGGTTATTTTATAAACCTCAGGACTTGTCAGTCAGTTCGTAGATATACCGATACGATAAGTAGTCTTTTAAATTCTATGGACAAATGAATGAGTTTAATGATAATTTAATCTGTTTTTATATATCAGTTTATTAACCTAGAATTAGGTTCCATTCATGATTTTTTGCTCTTATCTTTTATGGTATACTTATCGTATGACTTCGTTGGGTCATAAGGCTCCCAACGGCTAGCTGGAAAAATGTGTTTATTTCGTTCGTACCAAGAACGTAACAGCACTTTGCCCGCATGTGACTCTTCCTTTTCCACAGTTGCATCGCTAATCATTCGTACATCATCATGTACATCAAATTGAAATAGAGGACCACTTTTACCCCGAGCCTTCGTTACAATGAAATCGTAAAATGAATAATGATGTGGAAGAATTAAATCTTCTTTCACATACATTAATTGATCTGCCATAACTGTTTTTAGTTCATTAAACTCTTTTCGCAGTAATTCAAGGCAGCGTTGTAGAAATTGATATATTGAGTTACCCTTCTTCATTACAACACTGCGTCTATGGCCCGAACCATCCCAGTAACTGAAAGTAATGGTTATTTCTTGATCTTTTAATGCTGCTTGTTGCATCACCCATTCTTGTCGCAGTTGTTCACGTAGTCGATTTTCTTGCTCCTCGCGCTCACGGTCCGGCAGAAAAGATGTATCTACTTCCGGATTTTTAAAAATTTTCTTTTTTTTTGGTGGTGCGTTATCGTCGCTGAGGTCTGTCCACTTTTTCTTGGGTGGAGTATCCTCTTCTTTAACTTCATTGTCGTCTGCGTCCTCCGGTTCGTTCTCGTCCTCACCGTCTTCTTCACCATCATTGAAGCTGAAGGAGAGAGCTTGTATTTGACGCTTTTGTTTGTTTTTCTCCGCCTGTATAGCTTCCAGAGCACGCTGTTTTTCACGTTCTTTCTCATCTTTTTTCTGCGCTAACTTTTTTTCACGTTCCCTTACAATATCTTCTTGTTTTGCTTTCATTTCATCCAAAGTGACCAAACCAATGGTCGAGCTCTTGAGTTGCTGTTCCACGGCGTCATAATGTGCGGCGAACTTGTTTTCAATCTTGTCTAGCTTTAACTCCTCCTCGATTTTCTTCTTGCGAAACTCAATCTCCTGCTGGGCAATCTCACGTTTTTTCATCAATTGCGCCGCACGGCCCGCTTCGCTGGCGGCCCCCTTGTAGTGCGCCATGTGGAATAAGGTTTACTAATGTGATCTGATATATATATTTTATTTTCTAAATATTTATAAAGGATAAATGCAGTATTTTTCGTGTCCTTTTTATGTACTTGACTTCTGGAATTTGACAGCTGTTTATTGTGTTCTGTGTGAATGCTGCACTGCTTCTTCTTTGCCTTGTTTTTGCGAGCAGTGATCGGACTTCTCTTTTGTGTGTGAAATCTGGAATAACATGTGGAGATTTCAAAAAATGTAGTAGATCTCTGGGTTTACACTATGTACAAAAATTAAAAAACTCTGCAAGGTTTCACCTAAATGGCAAACCTTTTAATTAGACTCTAAAAAAAATTTAATTTTTGGGTTGGCAATTTTTTTCCTTGAGAGTGTAAACAGTTCCTTCCATATTAAGATATTTTTCGAACATATTTTAAGAGATTTCTGCAACCTTGCGGAGTGCTGCAAGCTTTTCTTTTTATCACATCACGAAGTAGTGTACAAATGTGACACGTTCCAGAAACAGCTAATTGGGAATTACCGATTTTGAAAATTCTCAAGTAAAAGTAAACAACGCCCAGCGTTCGGACTACTGAAACTCGATTCAGGAGTCAATGATTCGAAAAATCGGAGCAAAAACGAAATTTTCGGAGCAGATTAAAATTTTTTGTTAAATAGAATAATATTGAAACGGAGTGCTTGTAAAACAGCTTGATCTCTAAATAGTATTCAAACCAAACTTTCCATGAATAAATTTATATATATATATATATATATATTTTTTTTAAATAAGTAAATAATCAGACGGCGTATAAATTTCTGACCTTTGGTCTAACTTTCAAGTGTTTCGTCATAAAGCCTGTTCCTGTATTTATTTTTAATGTGATTCATCTCTGAAAACCTTCATTCGCCAGCAGCACTACTGTGCAGTAAAAAGCTAACGGCACCATATACTCTGCCAAGTTTGTAAGCATACACCTTTCCAAAACATTTTTGTGGTCCGTAATCAATACCCTGATTTGGGAAATAAAAAATGATTCCGCAAGGAATTTTAGGGAGTGAAAGAGACAACTTCTGTTAGACCTTTATATACAAAACCTTGGTGGTTTCCATAAAAGTTATTGAGCAAAAATTTAAGAAGTTACCATATTATTTTTAATAAATTCTTAATTTTAATGGAAAAAAAGTAAAAAATCTAAGCATATTTAAGTCAAGCGGCGTAGGGAGTAGATTTTAACTTTAAAAAAGAAGTAAATCAAGTCCGATCGGAGAAAAGTCCGGACGCTGGCAGCGCCTCAGAAACTTTAGATGCACTTAAAAATGCTAATACTTTCTCAAAAGTCACCGTTTTTTAACATTTTCGCTATTAATTCTTTTTATAAATCATATATTTTGCAATTTAACACAATAACACCGCGTTTCCTGTCGAAAAATTTATTACTGAGAAAACTTACTATTCTACAGTTTTTTTATCTTCCCATTCAGCTTTGTTTATTTTTACTTGAGAAATTTCATCGTCGCCGGGAATGGGGAATCTTGTATTATATCATCCTTTGTTACCATACCATGTTTAGTGTTGGACAATTTTTGCTCTTAAAATTAAGACAATTGTGTCAAGCAAAAATAAAACTACTCAAAAACGCGAATATGTGGTAGATTTCAGACCTTGAGTGGTAGTTCTACCACAATGTGGCAGAAATGCGATCACTGTTTGCGAGCTGCCACGGTATTGTGAACAGTTTTGCCGCGGCTAGGGATGTTGCGATACCATAAACTATCGGTACCAGTATCAAATGATGTATCAGAAGCTAACCGTCCTATTCCCACAACACTGACCAAATTCACCATATGACTATTGTCACAATCAATTACTGTGCCTAAAACACAATTGGTGTGTTCACAGTTCGTTCCAAATAGTGTCTCAAAATGTAGACGTCTACATTTTAAGACGTTTTTTAACCGTAAAATCTGTGGTGTTGTTGTTTCCCATACAAAATTGGAAAACGACGCCGTCTACATTTTGTCACACTCAAAGGTATGTTTTTTACGCGTCTACATTTTGCAACCTCGCAGCAGGGTTGCATTATGGCAATACTAATCACATTTTTTTTATTTATTGGGCACGTTTTCCGTATTTGCATTTAATTTGAGCGCAATTTCTGATGAAAAGAAACAAATCAAGGAAAAGGAATAACAAATATTACGAATTGGTAATTAAGTTAAATAATTACAATTTTTCAGAAACAAAATCGAAAGGCGACATATAAACAATGCACGCAAACAAGAAATGTCTGGCAACACCAGCAAAGTTTTGAAACGATTTTGCGACGACTGCTAGAAATGGGTGCTCACAGTTTGATGCTAAAAATGTCTCAAAATGTAGACGTCTACATTTTCAGACACAATTTGGAACGAACTGTGAACACCCCAAATATAAACATTTCGCCCTATTCCCACAACACTGACAAAATTCATCATATGACTATTGTCACAATTACTGCGCCTAAAACACAATATAAACATTGTTTCGCCGTTGTCACTTACTCAGTAGGTCATAACAATAAAACTGACAATTGTCATACGACAGCTTAAAATAAATTTGCGGCATAGTATTAGGCGCAGTAGTAGAGGCAATAGTCAGCCGCTGAGTTTTGTCAGTGGTGTGGGAATAGGGCGATTAGTATCAATACAAATATTAGTATTGGTATCGGAAATAAAATATCGATATTTTATTCTTTTGATACAAAAAATGTTTGACATAATATGAGTGATGCAGTTCATGAATATTAATAAGAAATCGTAAACAACTGCAGTGCGTAATAAACAAAATATAAAAAATGGTTCGATCTCAGATTTTTCAAACAAACGTTGCACTTAACCGAACTTTTGTCAATCTTGGTAATGTGTTTCCATACTTTTTTTCGGCTGTACTGTGTTTATACGGTTTGAATACCTTAAGATGCCATGCAAGTATTGATACTACTATCAAATGGGTATAAGAATTAAAATATCGCGCGAACGATAACATAGAGTCACTAATGTGGAAATATACTTAAATAGAATTTTAAAGACAATATGGCCTGTGTGAAGATGATATTGATATTGATGTTATTATGGTTAGGTTAGGTTATTCTGGCTGGTTGACCGCCCTACATAGACCAATAGGCCCATAGTGATGCCAGATGGAGATAGAGGTTCAGTTAAATATATTCGAAATATACATCATTTAGGATGTCAACGCTTTTTGAGAAGTCTTGTTACGTCTTCAAGATTATTAAACTCTGGAGCTCCGATATTAGCTTCGTTCCCCACGCTTTCCGGGCTGCTCCGGTAATTAGAGCGTAAAAATAAGTTACTCTCTCACAAGTGTCAAAAATGTGCCAACACTGCCAAAACTGCCCAAAGCATGAGGAACGCAAAAAACCACATTTCGTGCCCGGAATCAACATATCAACTCTAAACAATGATTTTACGTGTATTTATCTTATATGGCTAATAAAATTACCAAATAACTACATTTTCTGAAAATTCTGTGATATTTCCACTTCAGTTTTTATAAAACTTGCTTTCGGATTTAAACAACAGCAGCTGTGTGTGCCCGGAAAAAAAGTCCGGGCTGTTTCGTCCTCAAAGAAGAAGACATTTACGATCCAAAAAGGGAACGTATTCGCTCTCAATTGTCCAGCGTGAGGAACGCTTTTGGGCAGTTTTGGGCACCCACGGGTACCCGCGGGCTAGTGTGGACAAACCTGTTATGATACATTAGGCGGTATCGAAAGAAAATACACATATGGGTATCAATAGTAGGTTCTTTCCTTAACAATCCGGACCGGATCCGGTAATTAGAGAATAAGCGAAAAGTTTCCTCTCAAAAATAGAACATAATCCAGAAGTAAGGGAACGCAAAAAACCACATTTCGTCCCCGAATTTGAGAAACAGTTGATTCGCGTTGTTTTTGTTTTTGTCACTAAACGCAAACTCTTGAAAATTGAATTTATGTTTCTCAAATTTGATTTTACGACTATAAAGATTGAAAATACATTCACTATTCCTTAAAATCATTAAGTAAATGCAGGCAACATGTAAACACAAAACAGCTGATATGCACTTTGACACTTTATCCATTTTTACCCGGAGAAAAAATCCGGGCTGTTTCGGGCAGGAAGAAAAAGACACTTACGATCCAATACGTTCCAATTTACCCATATTGTATTGTTGTATTACCCATATTGTTGAGTACGGGAATAATTTCTGGGCTATTTTGGGCACCCGCGTGATCCCGCGTTGCGTACGGGAATGAACCTAGTATCGTCACCTTAGTATCGAATACCGATTTACCCAGAATCGAAACCAAAGTATCAATACCAAGACTATTACTATGTTTATACGTAAGCTATTTGCAAATAAAAATAATTTGCAAATACCTAACTCACTGTTTAATCGATGGGGATTTTTTTTTAATATTGCCTGATTATAAAAAAAAAACACAATAATATGACCATCGAAAAGGAAAATAAAGTTAAAAATGGCAACGTCGTGATTATAAAAAGGCAATAAGATGACCATCGAAAAAGAAAATTAACCTAAGAATGGCAGCGTCTTGCGCTTATTTGCAAATAGTAGCACTGATCAATACTTATTTGCGTGATTTAGTTATTTGCAAATAAAAAATTAACTCGGCGTTTATACGGCAAAGTTTACCATTTTGCAAATTCTTATTTGCAAATAATGCGTGCGTATAAACGTATTATGTATATATCAGTAGTATCGCAACATCCCTAGCCGCGGTGTTCAGAAGAAATGTATCACCGAAATTCCCTAAAATGGATTAAAAGTATCACGAAAAAAAATTTTAAGTATCAAAGTATCAATCTTCAATAAAATGTACAGTCATTGCCATACTTAACTAAAATCACATACATATTAAATTGGTGTTTAACACTGTACACGAGGAAAGTCAACTTGTGGGGAATTCCCCGATTTGCGGGAATTTGAGTTTGCGTGGGGAATCGGGGAATGGACCGTTTTTTGTGGGAAATTTCAGTTTACATGCACATTGGGAGATGAACTGCCTTTTATGAGGAATTAGGTGTTATTTAGAGTTTTCTTTGTCGCATTTGCGTTCATATAACGAATAAACACACTTTTTTATGTGGAAGAAAACCGCAACACTTTCGGAAAAAAAAATTAAAACGGAAATTTTTATTCA